ATAAGTAGATTTAATAAGCAAATCAACACAAACGTTCCATTTTGATTAAAGTTGTAGATTCTAATGTCTATTATAAAATTAAATTTACTGACCAAAACTTTGGACATTATATCATATACAAATCATCATGGACGTATTATTGATTTCAATTTGTGGATCATTAGTGTCATAGGATGCAAAAAAGGAGATCATTATAATTGTCACGTCATGAATACGATATTTTTGAGAGGCCAAAGAATTATAAGTGTGGATTGTCTGTATTGGATAAATTAACTTGGACAAAGCTTAAAACCTTCGTTTCATATCAAACATTTTTGGCTGCTGAATGAACACGCAATCCATTCCTTGTCGAATAATTAACTATATTGACTAATTTTGTTTTAATTGTTTTGGTGTTAGACATATTGGATTCTTCCGATTGTAGACTTGTAGTCGAGTTGGAGAGAGAGAGAACCGATCGTAGTTTTCTCATAAAAATTGTTAATTATTTTGCCATTATAACCATCTAAAAATAACAGGTTACGTATATGTCGATCCTAATTGTACATGATAATCTAATGAGGACGTCAAATCATCATCAGCCATGAAGCAAGGAATCAGGAGACGAGCTAAGGAGACAAATGAAGACCAAGACCGACCATTCTAGCTCAAGAACAACTTGGGATATATACTCAGCTCATCAAGAGCACATCACGAAGAACAACCTGAAGAAGATGTTGAAGATACAAACCGGCAGACCACCAATGGACCTGCTGGAGACATACGACCACTTATTATATAACTACAACTAGACCAGAATTTAGGCCATGAAACCACTTGGTCTACAATCTAGATCCAACAAAGGCACGCGGCAAATTAGAGTCAGTCCAGTTGGAGTTCAGACGAAGGAATTATTCAGTTTACAACCCAGGTGATCTCCAATTTAATCCAACTTGGACATATGCAATTTAATTGGAAATTTACGACCTAACCAGGAGTAAATAAGCTTTGAAATGACTTAGGGGGGTTATTGGTAGATGAATTTTTAAAGATTTTGAGAATTTGTAGATTCCATTGTTATTGG